TTAAGCAGTCATTTAAATTGTTCTGTTTGTCAGTAGAGACAACTTCTTGCTCCTGGCAGCTGTAGAGGGAGGGAGGAAAGGAGGGATGGATTAATTCCTGTTTGTTGTTATAATTTGAGAGCTAGTTGAGAATTCAGTTTTTGACAATAAAGTGTATGTGCATGTATGGGCAGAAAAGGGTTGATGATTGTTTTGTCTTTTCCTCCGCTCCCTGCATTTTTGATTAAATTGAGAGATGGTCACACTATTATAAAGTCTTCATGAAAACTTTGCTTGAGATTTTGACAAAAAGTCAGAGGAATTTCCCCCTACACTGAATTTCTATCCCCTCTTTTGCAACCAGTTCTACATTCCATTTCATGCAGTCAACACAATGCACATGGGACGCTGAAAAGCTGCTCACTCCAACAGATTAAAGCCAATTCTGTGCACAGCAAGACTCAGTAGTGCAGGGAAGGGATGTAAGTAAAACTTGTCAAAACTTTTCCAACTAAACAAACAGAAAATGCTAATTCAACAAAATGAAAATGTTTCCCAGGACTGTGTTGATTTTGTCAACATTTTCTATGGAAATGATTGAAATTTTGCATTTTGTTTATAATATAATATATTATAGAATCACAGAAATGTAGAGCTGGAAGGAATCTCAAGAGGTCATGTAGTCCCATCTCTATGTCCTAAGGCAGGAGAAAGTAAACCTACACCATCCCTGACAGGTGTTTGTTCAAGCGGTTCATAAACACTTCCAATGATCGGGATTCCACATCCACATTCCCCTTCCAATTAGAAAAAAAATCTTATTTTATGTTCTATACAATGAAAAGTCTAAAGAAAATATCCTGACCTTATTGAAATGTTTCTTTTCAATAAGGTTGTTTTATTTCCAAAAAGAAAAATCTCAGATATTTTCTCTTGCACAATACATTTTTAAAGTTTTACTCTCACGCCAATATGGTACAAAGACAAATTTTGAATCTCAGAATTCCCCATGGTTTGGAAATGTCATATTTCAACCTGCTCTAGAAAAAAGGTTACTGAAATAGAATAATGGTGCTTCTTTACTATGATGCTTTAAAATTGGTCCTTTCTCACACAAGAAAAGTCTGGTAACACAGACGGAACTGTTCACTTGTATGGACAGAATAAATGTTTATTGCTTCTTACTCCTGTTAGCCCTGCAGAATACAGTTCCGCTAATGGGCATGGAATGTCAATAATGAATATCATTATCCAGATGTCTCTTTTGTGATGCACAGAGGTAAACAAGGAAGATATAGTTGGAACTCAAGCAGTGTGGAAGCCTGTTTGTCTATAGTTGTGGCTGTTTAATATATTCTATTTAAGAGGGACCATGATTCTGTAAATCACTGCATAGAGAGATTGTTTAAGATTAGGGAAGAGTATACATGTAACAGGAAAGTGCATATGGGGAGATGGGAATTCCTGACAGGTTGGTGAGGAATCTTGAACTATGGAATCATTTTGCCAGGTGAAGGGATCAGAGCCCCATTGTAGAAGTCAAACTGGAGAAAGCACTGGAGAACAGACTATAGGGAATGGACTTGAATTGTCCAGGATTAGTACAAGAAGGGTGGATGAACTATTCTAATTATTGTGTGGAGGACTTGTGGATCGACCCTTTTAGCCACTGTGTTGGAATACTGCTATCTTTGATCAGTTCCTCACCCCACTTTCCAACACAGGGCTCACCCACAGCTCATTGATGTCAACTGAAAGACTCATGTTGACTTCAAAGAGCATTGGATCTGCTATTTAGTTGTGTGTGATGTGTGAGTGTGATAGGGAGGAGAAGACACTTACCTGTCTGAGCTGAGTTTCCCATCCTAGAAGGAAGAGAAAACAAAGTCATCCCATGGAGGTTCTTGTGATATGTATCTCTGCTCACAGGTCATTTGTTACAGGAAATGACACATGGTTTAGTATCTTTGGTCAGCAACTTTCCATCAACATTGTATTTCAATTTTGGTGAAAACTTTTTATTTTTCTCTTAGGAAAATCAAAAAGAAACATTTTGTTTTAGGTTGGTTTGATCCAGCTTGAAACACTTCAGTTTGGTGAATTGAACGAAAAAATTTTTTTCGAGTCTGTTTGATATTAAACTGCATCTGCCTTGCATGCAGTGATACCTCATGGGAGTTGCAGTTTAGGTGCTTCATGCCCACATTCTCCCCTCTGGGCTGGGCACTTGGTTGAACTACAGCTCTCATGATGCACTGCATTCCCCCTCTGACTGAGTGACATGGTGCATCATGAGCTATAGTCCAACAAGGGACCAGGCCCATAAGAGAGAATGGGGACATGAAGAACCTAAACTACAGTTCCTATGAAGCACTGCAGTCATCAAAGACACATACAGTACTATGTTGAATCTGACTGGAACTGAAACATTTGGAGAGTTCCAAATCAACATTTTTCAGAATTTTCCATTCTGGGAAACTTTGACTTTTCATTTGGATTCAAGATTAAAACAAATGTGGAAATATCAGACTTTCACTCAGTCCCACTGCAAACATTTCACTGGCATATTTATATCCTAAGGGCCATATGGAGTACATTTTCCATGTAAAATCAGTTTGCTCCAATGACATTCCAGGTGGAATAAAAAGACCAGATCCTTAGCTCGCTGTATAGATCACTGCAGCTACACTGACTTCAATCCATGTGTCTTCAATGGAGCAACATCCCATTTACGCCTACTGTGGATTTGCTCTCAATTCTCTGACGACCATTAAAGCCATTCCTAGCACCAAGCCCCCCAAACTGCCATAGAGTACAATACCTCACAGTGCAACAGGTAAACAGAAGTGTCCTTTTGTTTAGGGTCATCAGCCACATCCTCCGTTAGGTCTTCACCACTCACTTGTCTCTGAATCTCAGATGAGACATTTTCAAGAAAACCTAATTCTGGAGCCAACTCTGGAGCCAGAGAGAGAGAGAGACAGAGAATGAGACTCAGAACCACCATTTCGGCACTATTTTAACAGTAAGCTTTTTGGAGCAGGGACCAACAAAGCCTAACACAAAAGATCCTTGACCTGGTTGGCCTCTAGGGGTTACCAGACTATACACATTAAATACATACTCATTAAATATAGTGAGTTATCTTTGCATTTTCTGTATTTTGGGTTTGTGCAGGGGCTGCCCACTGCAGGGTTTGACTGGCATATAAAGTGTTAAAATAGCATGGCTAAGGAAAACCCCTGCTTTGCTGTCTGTGTGAAGTGCTGTGAGCAATGGTGGGAGGCCTGGAAAGACAGTTTCTTAGCTGGAAAAAAAGCTGGACTTGGAAAGTAACCATGTAAGTCTTAGGAAGGCATGGGACACCTTCTTATTGATAAACCAGGGAAATACAACCCAGATGGGACTCCTGTAAGGTGGGTACATAACTGGCTGGATAATCGTTCTCAGAGAGTAGTTATTAACGGTTCACAGTCCTGCTGGAAGGGCAGAACAAGTGGGGTTCTGCAGGGGTCTGTTCTGGGACCGGTTCTGTTCAATATCTTCATCAACGATTTACATATTGGCATACAGAGGACACTTATTAAGTTTGCAGATGATACGAAGCTGGGAGGGGTGGCAAGTGCTTTGGAGGACGGGTCATAATTCAAAATGATCTGGACAAACTGGAGAAATGGTCTGAGGTAAACAGGATGAAGTTTAATAAGGACAAATGCAAAGTGCTCCACTTAGGAAGGAACCATGCAGGTCACACATACAGAATGGGAAGCGACTGTCTAGGAAGGAGTCCTGCAGAAATGGACTCAAGGGTCAGAGTGGACCACAAGCTAAATAGGAGTCAACAGTGTGATGCTGTTGAAAAAAAAAGCAAACATGATTCTGGGATGCATTACCAGGAAGTCATTCTTCCACTCCACTCTGCACTGATTAGGCCTCAGTTGGAGTCTTGTGTCCAGTACTGGGCACCACATTTCAGGAAAGATATGGAGAAATTGGGGAATGTCAGACACATAGATGAACATAATTTGTTGTGGGAAAGTCAACATGGTTTCTGTAAAGGGAAATCACACCTTACTGATCTGCTAGAGTTCTTTGAGGAAGTCAACAAACATGTGGACAAAGGGGATCCAGAGCATATAATATACTTAGATTTCCAGAAAGCCTTTGACAAGGTCCCTCACCAAAGGCTCTTAAGTAAAGTAAGTAGTCACGGGTTAAGAGGGAAGGTCCTTTCATGGATTGATAACTGGTAAAAAGACAGGAAACAAAGGGTAGGAATAGATGGTAAGTTTTCAGAGTGGAGAGAGATAACTAGAGGTGTCCCCCAAGGTTATGTCCTGGGACCAGTCCTATATAACCTATCCATAAATGATCTGGAGAAAGGGGTAAACAGTGAGGTGGCAAAATTTGCAGTTGAGACCAAACTGCTCAAGATAGTTAAGACCAAAGCAGGCTGTGGAGAGCTTCAAAAAGGTCTCACTAAACTAAGTGATTGGGCAACAAAATGGCAAATGAAATTGAATGTTGATAAATGTAAAGTAATGCACATTGGAAAAAATAATCCCAGCTATACATACAATATGATGGGGACTAAATTGGCTGCAGCTACTCAAGAGAGAGATCTTGGAGTCATTGTGAATAGTTCTCTGAAAACACCCACTCAGTGCGCAGTGGCAGTCAAAAAAGCAAATACAGTGAAACCTTTGTTATCTGGTACTCTGTTAACCAGAAAACGTTGTTAATTGGCATTGCCCCCAGCCATAATACTGCCACATCTTCAGGTGCATAGGCCTGGTTGACCATGATTGGCTTAATTTTTTATTTAAGAAGTACTAATCATCTTTAACTCAAAATAAGAAATGAGACACCAACTGCCTCACACTACAAAACTACCAATATTAAAAACTTGAGTTTTACTATTATTGTCCATTGGTTTTTCCTAGGTTGATGGAACCCTCACATAAACCGGAATTTTTAGATAACCGGAATGCCCTAATCCCCAAGTATGCCAGATGTTAAGAATTATTTAAAGAGGGATTGAGAATAAGACAGAATATATCTTATTGCCTCTATATAACCATGGTACGCTCCCATCTTGAATACTGCTATATATGTGGTCACCTCATCTCAAAAAGATATACTGTTATTGGAAAAGGTTCAGAAAAGGGCAACAAAAAGGATTAGGGGTTTAGAACAGGTCCCATATGTAGAGAGGTTAAGAAGATTTGGGACTTTTCAGCTTAAAGAAGAGGAGATGAAGGGGGTGGTATGAAAAATCATGACAGATGTGGAAAAAGTGAATAAGGAAAAGTTAATTACTTATTCCCAGAATGTAAGAACTAGGGATCACCAAATTAAATGAACAGGCAGCAGGTTTAAAACAAGCAAAAGGAAGTTTTTGTTCACTCAGTGCATAGTCAGCCTCTGGAACTCCTTGCCAAAGGATGTGGGGAAGGCTAGGATTTTAACAGGGTTCAGAAAAGAGCTAGAACACGTTGTCGTTACAGCCTTACCTCCGAAACGCTGCAGCAGCTCACGCAGAGCTTTCTGGCTCTCTGACAGAGCCTGCACTCTGCTCTCCAGTTCAGTCAGCGACTCAGCAGAGGCCTCCTCCTCACCTTTCACCCGCTCATACCTAGTGCAGAAAGAACGAGGTTCCCATGGGACTGCTTCGTACTAATGGCTGAATCCTCTCAGCAGGGAGATAGAACAGGGGGGGCTACCCGCAGCACTGAGCATGCTGACCCAGAGCGTTATTTAGCACACCTAGCAATGTAAACGTGGGTATTAAGAGGCGCTAACTGTAGGGCTCCAACCTGGACCTCCTGCCCTTGGTTCAGGGCCAGTACCGCAGTGGCTCATGATGACCGCCATTACAGAGCAGACTGCTCACCCTTGCTGTCCCACATGCTAAGACTAGCATTGAAGCTGCATTAAGCAGCACCCTCATTCCTATGGATCATGCCTCAGAGGACAAACCACTCTCTAGAAGTGGGGGTTAGGGAGGGGACTTCTCCTGAGGCAAGTCATCCTGTAATAGGCCTCGAAAGTAGCTGGCACTGGCCACTATCAGAGACAGGATACCGGGCTAAATGGGCCCTTAGTCTGAATTGCTCTGGCACTTCTAACGTTCCTGCGATGTTTTTACTGTTTCATTCTTTTAACCATTAGGACAGTGAGGTGCCAGGGACATTCTATATTTTCAGCTGACAAAGGAGACACATACCTGTTTAAGGTGCTGTCAATGTCCTAAAAAGGAAACAAAAACAAACTCAGTTCATTGGCCACAGCCCTGAAATACCTCTAGGCAGAAGACTCACCTTTTTGCTTCTTACAGGCAGTGGGCAGGTTTGCAAACTTCCTGCATAGCTCTGTTCTGTTCCTAACTCTGCCAGTGCCCTTCTGAGTGACCTTGGAAAAATCAGTTCCCCCCCTCCCCGTGCCTCAGTTTCCTCATATGTAAAATAGGGATCGTAAGCTTCCTTCAGAAAGTGCTTTGAGATCTACTGAGGAAAAGTTCTGGATAAGAGCCAGGTGTCATTTATTATTACAGGCTGCACCCCTAAAATCCGGGATTCTCTGGTCGGGCAACATCCGTGGTCCGGAAAGACCCCATATGTTCCAGGACCAGCCCTCCCCGTGCCTCAGTTTCCTCATATGTAAAATAGGGATCGTAAGCTTCCTTCAGAAAGTGCTTTGAGATCTACTGAGGAAAAGTTCTGGATAAGAGCCAGGTGTCATTTATTATTACAGGCTGCACCCCTAAAATCCGGGATTCTCTGGTCGGGCAACATCCGTGGTCCGGAAAGACCCCATATGTTCCAGGACCAGAAAGACCTGGTGAGCTGCAGGGGAGTGGGAGCAGCGGCTCAGTTTGGGTGGTGGATCAGGATCCAGTGCGGGGCTCAGCTGCGCTGTAAAAAACGGGGGGCAGGAAGTCCGGATGTAGCTCAGCTGCGCTGCGGGAGGAGCCAGGAAGTGGGGAGAGGGGTGCTGGGGAGAAAGGTTCTGAAATGACCTCCCCTGATCTGGAAAAATCCCTCAACAGGGACTGCTCAGGTCCCGAGGGTGCCGGACTGTGAGGTCCCACCTGTACTACTGTTTGTGTTGGAGTGAGTTAATTATTATTATTTTTTTAAGATTTTGATCTTCTGATGACATGGGAAATGTTTGGCTTGTTTTGCAGGCTTCCCCCCTCTTGTTTGGCCATGGAGCAGGCGAGACGCACATGTATGATATTCTGAGTTTAAAAACGGAAGCAAAATCAAGAGAAATGTGATGATTTCACTCTTCTTTCCCCCTTTTTAAAGGCCAACCATTTCTACCATTTGTCTAAGCTGCCTGTCTCCATCTGTCAATGGCAGGGCTGGGGATCCTTTTGTGGGTTGGGGGTCGCTGCTCCACAGAAAAAACAGTCGGGGGCCGTACACAAGTGAGATGCAAAAAAGAAAAATCAAACCCTCACTCATGTGGACTGCAGCTGAGAAGCAGAAAGACACTCCCCACATCCTCCTGGCCCACCAGAGCCTTCAGTGAGGGGTGGGGGGGTGTAATGTCTAGGAAGTAGATTTTGTGTGCTCCAGCCCCACGGTGGCCAATTCAGGCTCCCCAGTGCTGGGGGTGGGGGGAGCCGCGAGCTTTGGGGGCTGGATTCAAGCAAGCTGGGGGCTGCAGGTTCCCCACCCCTAAGATACAGTATTACATTGAGCTGGGCAATACACTACATTTTTATTCCTTAACAATATCTAAATACTCAGGGCGTTGTGGCTGCTCTTTGCATTTACAGTCATCCATAACTCCTGAAAATAAATTAAACTAAGCCTCACATTGTTTCGTTCTTTAACATACTATAGACCTTTAAAAAAGGTGATAAAAATGTTACTAATGGAGTGAGGTCTACAGAGAGCATGAAACAATAGCCCTGAGCGGGAAGAATTCCCTTCTTTAATCTCCGTTTGTTGACCCTCAAACCTAACGACTACAATTTGATGTCCGCATTAACTTTTTCATTACTGCTTGTTTTCACAGATGAGATAGAGAAGGGGGCGAGAGACATCACATAAAGAACTGGGAATTGTAACCACAGGAAATAGATCTGTGTGTGGATGCTAACGCAGTATGGAACGGTGCGCTCGTGTGAAAGAGCGTGATCCTGTTTGGTGGTATCAAACTTTGTGTGTGTGTATGTCGGTGGCCCACTCTGGTGCAATATATAAATATCCACCGGAAATTTTACACTGCATCTAACACCATGGCACCTGAGTTCCTCAGACACACATCTGTCCTCTATATAATGCACTCCGAGCCAAATTCAGACACAGTGTACTGTAAACAGTTGTGCTGCCTTGAAATCAAAGGCCTACACAGATCTCTGTGCAGATTTCAGCTGGGGCAGGGACTGTCTCTCACTGTATCTGTGCAGTGCCCGGAACAACGGGGCCCTAATCTCAACTGGGGCAGGCACTGTCTCTCACTGTGTGTCCATTCAGTGCCTGACACAGATGGACCCTAATAGTGCCAGAGGCCCAGTTTTTAAAGGTGTTCAGGCATTGTGAGGTTCCGCATTGCAAGATTCAACTGATTTAGGTGCTGTAATCTCTTTACCAAAGTTGATTTAGGTATTTAGGAGCCTAAGTACCATTGAGTGTTGGACATGTTTTTGACCTGTCTTACCTGGAGGACCTCAATCCCTTGCTGCTGGCATTTCTGTCTTATCTCATCTATCAGGTTATCGAGACGTAATAGCCCCTCTGTATTTTTATTCCTCGCTTTCACAAGATCCTTTTTCGTGCCTTCCAGCTTGTTACATGTGAGTTTCTCTCCATGTGTCAAAATCTGGTGCACTTGCTTGAATTCAGACACAATCTCCTTCTTCTCTCTTTCCGTTTGCTCCTGTCACAAACAGATATAACAGCACTGTGACATAGGAAACAGGATTTTCAAGTCCTCCTCCCCAGTACCAACATTTCAGCTGTGACTGATTGAGCCCTTTAACAGAGGGCAGAAATCTGTGGGGCAGATCCTGAGCTGGGGAGCATTTGCACAGCCCGACAACCATTGCACATCAAACAGGAGCTAGTGTCACTTAGTGGCATCTGAATACAATTTTCAGCATAAGGGTACCTGTGAGATTCTTCTAGGGAGCCTAGATCCAAAAGAGGGGGCATTTGAAAAGCACTGGAGAATTAGCCCTTCATCTTCCACTGAAGGTCCTTTTCAAAGATTTTACCTGGACTCTGGCCCAAAATCACCAGTCCCAAGATTTTCAAAAGCCATGTAGGCTGAAGCATTTAGTTTTGACTTTAATATTATTTAACTATTTAAACACTAGGGCTACGTCTACACTGGCATGATTTTCCGAAAATGCTTTTAACAGAAAAGTTTTCCATTAAAAGCATTTTCGGAAAATCACGTCTAGATTGGCAGGATGCTTTTCCGCAAAAGCACTTTTTGCGGAAAAGCGTCTGTGATCAATCTAGACACGGTTTTCCGTAAAAAAGCCCCGATTGCCATTTTCGCGACTGGGGCTTTTTTGCGGAAAACAGTACTGTGCTGTATACACTGGCCCTTTTGTGCAAAAGTCTTTCAGAAAAAGACTTTTGCCCGAACGGGAGCAGCATAGTATTTCCGGAAAAGCACTGACGATCTTACATGAGATCATCAGTGCTCTTCCGGAAATTCAAGCGGCCAGTGTAGACAGCTGGCAAGTTTTTCCGCAAAAGCAGATGATTTTGTGGAAAAACTTGCCAGTAGCCTAACAGATTTACCCAGCATTGCCTGGGTCCTTCAGGGCAGGGCCTTGGGGTGTGTGTGTATGTGTGTGTGTTCAGGAGTTGGGGGCCAGGGGCCTGTTCTTTCTCCCCTCTCACCCGCCCCAAGCTTGCCAGGGCCTGTTCTCCCCTTGCCACAAGCCTGCCAGGGGCCTTTTCTCTACCCTCACCCCCAGTTTCCAGGGGCCTGGTCTCTCCTTGCTTTAAGTTATGATAAGAGGAAGCTGCATACCAAATTTGGTAGCCTTATCTTTTGCCTTTTAGGACAGGGTAAAGAACCTAAGGCCCAGGGATGTGGCCCCCGACTTGCCAGGATCTGGGTCCCAAACCTTGGGTCTGGCCTCAGCATTGGGGAACCCATACTGGTGCTCCAGCCCCCCCTACCTTCCCCTCACAGGGCTGGACAACGTCGGCTCACCTGGGCCCCCTAGGCTGTGGTGTTGGAGGGGAATATGGGGAGAATCTTTCTCTTTCTCAGGCGTGGCCATGTCAGTGAGGGTTTGGTTTGGGGGTTTTTTTTTCTTTTGTGCTTCTTACTTGAGGGCAGCCTCTGATGGATTTTTCTGTAGGTCAGCAGCCCCTGGCCCAAAAAGGGTTCCCCACCCGAGTTCTCAAACTAACGGACTCACAGACAGTCACACAGACAGACACGCACACTCTGAAATCTAGGCAAGGGCGGGGTTTGGCTGTGCTCGGACAACCAGAAGCCCCAGGACAAGGACTGTTTTCCATAACATCCAAAGGGAGGGGCTGCTTATGGAGGAAGGCAGTAGTGGACGGGTTACTGGGGGCAGCAAGCCCATAGGGGAGAGCTCTCATGCAGAGAGGCCACTGGGGAGTGGCCAGTAGGGTCAGGACTCCACCTTCTTGCTTGACAGTGACCCAGGGAAGGAGCCCCCCCCCCAACCCCAAACTCTTTCTCTCCCTCCTGACCTTTGGTCACAACACCAGGAGGAGGGGGACAGAAAAAAAGGCTCCTGTCGGCTTTGGGGGATCTGGAGAGAGAAAGAACAGGCCATTTGCGGGCAGGGGGAGGGCTGTGGGGAATTGAACAGGCTCCTGGCCCCCAACCTTCTGCATCCTCCTCTCCGCATATCCCTAAGGCCCTGCCCTGAAGGCACTGGGCAATGCTGGGTAAGTCTTCTAGTAAAATTACAGATAGATGAGGGTACGTCTACACTACAGCGCTAGTTCACACTAACTTAGTTCGAATTAGTTAATTCGAACTAAGCTAATTTGAACTAATGCGTCTAGAACTAAAAACTAGTTCGAATTAGCGTTTTGCTAATTCGAACTAGCAAGTCCACATTGAGTGGACTCTGAACAGGGCTTAAGGATGGCCGGAAGCAGTGCCGGCAGGGCATCAGAGGAGGACTTAGAGCGTGTTGCTGGCTGGGTGGGGGCTGTGGGGAATTGAACAGGCTCCTGGCCCCCAACCTTCTGCATCCTCCTCTCCGCATATCCCTAAGGCCCTGCCCTGAAGGCACTGGGCAATGCTGGGTAAGTCTTCTAGTAAAATTACAGATAGATGAGGGTACGTCTACACTACAGCGCTAGTTCACACTAACTTAGTTCGAATTAGTTAATTCGAACTAAGCTAATTTGAACTAATGCGTCTAGAACTAAAAACTAGTTCGAATTAGCGTTTTGCTAATTCGAACTAGCAAGTCCACATTGAGTGGACTCTGAACAGGGCTTAAGGATGGCCGGAAGCAGTGCCGGCAGGGCATCAGAGGAGGACTTAGAGCGTGGAGATGCTGTCTCAGGCTAGCCGAGGGCTGCGCTTAAAGGGTCCCGACCCCCACCCCGGACACACAGTTCTAAGGGGTGCCCCGCTTGCAAAGAAGTTCTGGCTTGGAGTGCCCTGAGTGCCCACACTGGGCACATCACACCACTCGGCCATCAGCCCGGCTGCACTTGCCGCAGGCTGCCATCTGGGGAGAGGGAGTAATTGGGGGGCTGCAGGAGAGCTTCCACCCCCAGAAGCCCGCAGAGCCAGCCCAGTCCTCCCCATCGGGGGCTCGTACCCCATTCCTCCCTCACCTCCTTCCACTTACCCTTCCCTAGCCCCCCTTCTTATTGATGTACAAAATAAAGATAACGTTTCTTCCAACATTGACTCTGTCTTTATTGAACAAAACTGGGGGAGACTGGGAAAAGGAGGTGGGAGAGGGGAAGAGAAAGGCTGGGAGAAGAGAGGGCAACTAACATGATCAGGGGTTGGGAACAGGCCCCAGATGAAGAGAGGCTACAGAGACTGGGACTGTTCAACTTAGAAAAGAGGAGACGGAGGGGGGACAGGATAGAGGTCTCTAAAAGCAGGGGTTGGGTGGAGAGGGTGCATTCAGAAAAGTTCTTCCTGAGTTCCCATAAAGAAGGACTAGAGGACACCAAAGGAAAGGAATGGGTAGCAGGCTTGAAACTAGTAAGAGAAAGTTGTTCTTCTTGACAAAGCAAATAGTTAACCTGTGGAACTCCTTGCTGCAGGAGGCTGTGAAGGCTACAACTAGAACAGAGTTTAAAGGGAAGTGAGATAAAGTGATGGAGGTTGGGTCCATGGAGTCCTATTAGCCAGAGGGTAGGAGTGGTGTCCCTGCCCAAAGTTTGTGGAAGGCTGGAGAGGGATGGCACGAGACAAATGGCTTGGTCACTGTCTTCGGTCCATCCCCTCCAGGGTCCCTAGGGTTGGCCGCTGTCGGCAGACAGGCTACTGGGCTAGATGGACCTTTGGTCTGACCCAGGACGGCCATTGTAAGCTCAGGGCTCAGTGTCGGGGGTCTCAGTGGACCCCCTTGATTTTCATGCACACCTGGTCCTGGGTGGCCAGGCTGGCAGCTCTCCTGCCCTAGACGGCCACTTTCCTGTGCCTAGTGCGGAG